TGGGGTTCCCATCTCCCTTGTTCCTACTGTTTTCTAAATTCATATGTGCCTGATCCCTCCTAGGCAAACAAGTGTTCCTGGTGCACAGTGAGTTCACAGACAAACATTTTTCTTGCAGCAAATAAGCATATGTGTCTTTGGCAATGGAACAGCTCATGTAGGTGGAAAGTGATCTAGGAGAAGGATAAATTAGACAGGACTTTTAGCTACAGTGTTAGAAGCACAATTCAAACTGCCTAAACAAAGAAAAAAATTGGCTCAAGAACCGAGGTGGCCATTGCCACAGGCATAAGATTGGATCTAGAGACTCAGACTCAGGTCCTTCCAATTCATTTCCATTTGTGATGGCCTCACTCTGGGCCAGTCCGTGTGCTCGGGGATATGGCCACTGACAGCTCTGGGATAACAGTTAAGCTTGTGATCTTAGATCCCAGTGTCCCCTAGGCCAAAAATAGTGGGAGTTTCCTAGTCACCTAAATGAAGAGCCTTATTTTGGGCACAGCTGGCCTTTCAGGGTTGAGTTAGGACAGTGTGACAGAGCCATGAGAGCTGGTTCTGAAAAACAGGAACCCAAGCTCCCCGGGCTGCCTTCTTTGGAAGCTGTTAAATGTCCCGACTACAAACAGAATTTAACATCCAAGTAGTTTTTGTTTACCTGTACAAAGACTATATAATTATAGTCGATATTTAACAGTTTTAGTAATTTACATCCTTAAAACTGAGGTCTACATTTTAAATATAGATTTGTTGAGTGAAATTTCATATTAAATACAGATTTGCTGAGTGGAATTTATAGTTTTATTACATGATATAAAACAGAGTTACTGGTATGATCCTGAATTAATACTCTAATTTGGCTCCAGTCATCTGGTCAGCAGCAGGGCTTATGCGTATCTGCTACTGTGGTGTTCTACAGGATGTTGATGACGTCCCATGAATACAGGGGGTCTAGGGCCGGTGTATTTGGGAACCAGTGGGTTACATGGGCCTTATTACTGCAGAACTGACACAAGGACACACAATGGCAGTGTGTGCTGTGAATCGTTCATTTGAGGGGAGAGCGGGTAACAGGCAGCATAGAAGCCTATTTGCCCGCAGAACCGCTTTCTTTAGAGCATCGCACAGCACCACGTTCCAAGAGTCACACTTGAGCAAACACTGACCTGCTGGCTTGTTTGTTTTTAAATTCAAATAATAATATCAGTTTTAAGGGTGGGAGTCAGTTTACTGGCCTTGTGACACAATCAGGCATTAGACTGAAAGTGACTTTTCAGGGGAAATATAACAAGGTCAGCACTGTCAGGGACCACAGTTAATAAAAAAGTGGTTGTAACAGATTATATCAGAACCACCTAAGGAACTTCAAAAGCTACACATGGCTAGCCACACCCTGCCAGGATGTTCTAAGGGGCCTAGGCATGTGCCCAAGAAAGACTCCCAGTTGGTTCTGAAACGCAGCCTTTGATCTAGAAATCCAGTGACCATTTGGGCATCAGTCAAGAGTATGCAATTCTTAAATCCTTACTACTATTTTCTTTCCTTCAACAAGCATCAACCAGATGCCTACTCTGTTCCATGCTCTATACCTGCAAGGGCTTGACTTCAGGCTAAAGTGAAACAAGGAAATGCTAAGTTTTTCATGTTTCAGCTTTTGCCTGCATTCTTCGGTTGGCTGTCGAGAAGGAAGGGCTACTCACCTTCATCCAAACTGAATTATTTAGATTTCCAGCAGATTTTCCAGCACTGAAAATCTACTGGGTTTGTCGCTCAGTCATCTCCATTGCAATCCCCTGGACTGTAGCCCCAGGCTTCTCCTTAAAGCCTTGGAATTTCTTAAGTGCTGACAGCAACAAAGGTGTCTTAGTTATGTTAATGACTGGCCTTTGGACCACACCTAAGGAAGGGTGGGCATTCCTGGTGGCTCAGAATCTGCCTGCAGTGCAGGAGACCTGAGTAGTGCAGGAGACCTAGGTCGGGAAGATCCCCTGGAGAACAGAATGGCATCCCACTCCAGTATTCTGGCCTAGAGAATCCCATGGACGGAGGGACCTGGTAGGCTACAGTTCATGGGGTCGCAAAGAGTCAGACACGACTAAGCAACTAACACTTAAGGATGGGGAAAACAATCACATGATCAGAGGGTTAGAACTTTCAGTCTCATCCCTTGCCCTCAGGGGAGGTGAGAGGGGCTGAAAGTTAAACAAGTTACCAATGGCCAATGACTTAATCAATCATGCTTCCATAATGAAGCCTTCATAAAACCCAAAGAACAGGGTTCAAAGAGCTTGCAGGTGTATGAACACGTAGAGATTCAGAGAAGACATGGAAATTCTGAACCCTTTCCGCATATCTTACCCTATGCATCTCTTTCATTGGGCTGTTCGTGAGTATCTCGCTGTATCCTCCTGACTATGCCAACTGTCTTGCTATATCTCACTGTTCACTGAACCCAGGGAAGACAAGGCATGAGCAGGGAAGCTGGAAGAAGATGCGAGGAGCCCTAGGAACTGTGAACGTGCATGCTAAGTCATTTCAGTCATGTCTGACTCTTTGAGACCCTATGGACTGTAGCCCACCAGGCTCCTCTGTCCATGGGGTTTTCCAGCAAGAATACTGGAGTGGGTTGCCATTTCCTCCTCAGTGGGCTTTTCCCGATCCAGGGATCAAACCCACATCTCCTGCATCGCAGGTGGATTCTTTACCACTGAGCCACCTGGGAAGGAACTGCAGACACTTTACTCACTGTGGGAAGGCAGACATGCTTTATTCTCTAATGGCTAGAACAGTAGTAGCAACTACGCAACCCAATTCAATACAATTCTTACTCCCCTCGAAGGGCTTTTCAGGTGGGGCTTATATAGCTTTACAGAACAAAAAGTGGCCCGTGGCCACGCAAGTACATCATGACATGCATGCGCAGTTCTATAAGTGAGCTCAGCTGTTACATAACCATGCAAAGTCATTATTTACAAAACATGGAGTGATAGCAAAAAGTCGTGGGGCCAGAGAGCCTGACCACTGCCATCTTGGCTAATTTATAGGAACGGTCCCTACACTGAGTTAATTTCCTTTTACAATAAACCAATAATCTCTGAGTCCTATGAGTCTCTGGCAAATTAACTAAGGCCACAGAGGAGGTTGCTGTAACTTTCATCCCTATTCAGTTGGTCAGTTCAAGTTCAGTTCAGTCACTCGTGTCTAATTCTTTGCAACCCCATGAACTGCAGCACGCAAAGCCTCCCTGTCCATCAACAACTCCCGGAGTTTACTCAAACTGATGTCCATCAAGTTGGTGATGCCATCCAACCATCTCATCCTCTGTCATCCCCTTCTCCTCCCATCTTCAATCTTTCCCAGCATCAGGGTCTTTTCAAATGAGTCAGCTCTTCGCATTAGGTGGCCAAAGTTTGGAGTTTCAGCTTCAGCATCAGTCATTCCAATGATTATTCAGGACTGATTTCCTTTAGGATGGACTGGTTGGATCTCCTTGCAGTCCAAGGGACTCTCAAGAGTCTTCTCCAACACCACAGTTCAAAAGCATCAGTTCTTTGGTGTTCAGCTTTCTTTATAGTCGAACCCTCACATCCATACATGACTACTGGAAAAAACATAGCTTTGACTAGATGGACCTTTGTTGGCAATTGGTCAGAAGCACAGGTAGTAACAATTTATAGGGAGGAGGCAGGCAGTCTGATAGGACTGAGCTCTTAACCTGTAGGAATCTGATGCCATCTCCAGGCACAGAATGTCAGAACTGAGTTGAATGGTAAGACACCCAATTGATAAATTGCTTGGTGGTGTGGGGGAAAAAGCCCACATTAAAACTGGTGATCAGAACCTTAATACTCTTACAAAATACAAATGGAAAATGAATAAAAATCAGCAAGTAAGTTGGTTTAAATAACTCATTTTTTTTATGTCTTACTAAGAATACGTCTAACAGTAACCATGATCAAGCAACTGCTATGTATAATCAAGGACTTCTCATATGTTATTTCAGTTAAAAACTCTCCATTAATCCTTACAGGTATGCATTATGCTTGTTTTGCAGATGAAGAAAATTAAGCCAAGTAATAGTTATATAAATAGCAAGTTCTCTGACTCAGCCTGCAAAACCAGTCATCAGATCAAAACCAGGATGAGGTGGTTGTAGTGCGTCCCCCGACTGATCTCCAGGATTGATCTGGGTAGTCTGGGTGGTCTCTTGGACACCAAATAGCCTTCAGATATAAATAGGTGCTATTTGAAAAGTTATGTGATCCCTTATATTGAGCATATTAACATTTTATGATGTTTACAAGTTTGTTTAAGCCGTTGATGATCCTAGTGTATTACAAACAGCTCATATGTTTTAGGAATTTGCTTTAAATTACTACAGAGCCTACCCTGAGCTGAACATACAATACCTTGGCCTGGGGTGGAGACAGCAAAACTCAGGTGTCTCTGTGTCTGGAACACACCAAACCAAACTCCGGAGCATCAGCAAACCCTGTTAAACGGCACAGGATACCTTTGCACACATTCTAATTTTTTAAACAGAATGGACAGCCAAATTAAACTGCCCCTTCAGTATCATCCAAGGGACCTACCTGAGAACACAATCCAAATGTTGACCATCAACTATTACTAGAAAATGGCTTGAGATGATCAATCGAAGGGAACAGTGGCACAGATTAAGAAAAAAATTAATTGGGCAAGATATCCAATAAACTAAAACAACAGAAATCAATTTTGCAAGGATTACTGTATCACTTCCATGTCCCCATTACTAGTCATTGCCCACTACTGAGAACACGCTCTTCAGCACACGGAACTCTGCTCAGTAACCTGTGGCGACCTGAATGGGGACCTGAATGTGAAACTGATTCACTGTGCTCCACAGCAAAAACTAACACTTCAGAGCAACTATGTTCCAATAAAAATTAATTTAAAAACTTAAAAAAGAAGAAAAAGAACTAAACTTTAAAGGAGAAAGGTCAAAGAGCCAAAAAAGAAAAAAAAAAAGTCCACTGCAGAATTTTAATAATAGATGCCACACGTTGCTACACAGAGAATACAAGTATATGTGACTCTGATGCCTATGGATGTGTATATACATTGAACCTTTGGAATTGCCGACATGTGAGGGTTCAGAAAAAGAAGCCCGTAGAAAAGCCTGGGGAAGAGTTAGAAGAGCTAGTGGCCAAGACGGAGTTCCAAGAAAGAAGTATTCAACAGGGCAAAAACAGCTAAAAGATCAAGCAGAAGGATTAAGAAGTGCCCAATGGATCTGACAACCAGTCACTGATGACCTTGACAAAAGTAATTTCAGTGGATCGTTAAGGGCAAAAGTCAGTTTATAGTAGGTTAGTCAGTTCAGTCGCTCAGTTGTGTTTGAGTCGTTGCGACCCCATGGACTGCAGCACGCCAGGCCTCCCTGTCCATCACCAACTCCCAGGGTTTATGCAAACTCATGTCCATGGAGTCGGTAATGCCATCCAACCATCTCATCCTCTGCCGTCCCCTTCTCCTCCCACCTTCAATCTTTCCCAGCATCAGTATCTTTTCCAATGAGTCAGTTCTTCGCATCAGGTAGCCAAAGTATTGGAGTTTCAGCTTCAGCATAGTGGGTTAAAGAAAGGGAAGTATGGAAAATCTTTCAACATTCCATTCACTCATTCATTGATCCCAGTGTGTACTGAGTGGCTATGGGTGCAGTGGGTTCTGAAAGGAAGGATGGCAACAAGTTAAGGCTTATTCATTTTTCCCAAGCTCTCCCGGCCAACAAAGAATCGCGTGCTCTAATCCACTCACTTGTGCTTGACAGACATGATACAGTATCAGTATAAACTGCTGAAAATGAAATAGAAGTTGAGTGATAAATACTCAGTATCGTACAAGCCATAGGAAAAATAACTTGACCATAGTATAAAGAGACCCATCATATACCCACAGGTCTAACTTCTTCTTCATTCAAGGCCATCTATTCCCTGCGGATTGAGGTCTTGAGCGTGATTGTACATTTCTGCAGCATCAAATGGAATCTTCTCAAAATTAAAGTCCTTCCACTTTGCATATAGTGTCTGAGCCCCAGTCGCAACATCTTCCACAACAAAACTTTCGATCTTTATAACTGGAATCTCGAATGACTTGTACCTCACGTGAATTCCCCAGTCGTGGAGGCAGTCCTTCCTGGCACAGAAGATCTTAGCTTTCTTCTCAAAACTACCAAAATTCTTCGGTCTGGGATGTAACTTAGTCACGAAGCGCTCCCTGAAAGCATCTTTAACCACAGTGAAATGGCATTCCTACAGATAAAGGGATTGAATAGCACCCAAAACAGAATGTTAGAACCAGAACGTAACTATGATTTAAAAAATAAAATTCCCAACCAAACTTGTTAGTCCTCCTCTGCATGAGGTGTCCCCCATCGACTCACTGGTCCCTCCATGCCCACCCTCACCTCCACTGTGTGGTTGGGAGTCAGACTGCATGGATTCTACTCTGGTCTTGAGGCAAACTCACATTTCCCCCCTACTCCATCTATAAAAGAAGTGGGACCCCACCTCCTTGTCATCTCAGATTATTGTGGAATTTTACCTTTCACAGCAAAAGAAAAAGACTCAGAAAGGTATGGGAACTTGCTAGTATTAGCCCTAAATGTGTTTCTTGCTCCAGTGTTGCACTGACTAGAGACTTCAGCTTTCTGAAGACTAAACAACCCTAATGTGACAACTCATCATGTGAACCGGCCCAGGCCCTCCACTGTCCCCAGTCGGCAGCGATAGAGTTACGTCCAATTTTTGTCTTTGGAGATTTTTCTAATCCTTTATCTAAAAGTTTTAAGGAAAAAAAAAAAAATAGAAAGCTAAGCTGCAGATGTGTTTAAAATCAGGAGATTTTGCTTCCATTGTAAAAGTGACCCATATCCCCAAAAGAAAGTTTAGAAAATGTAAAATCAGTGTGGGAGGCAGGCTCAAGAGGGCGGGGACACATAAATACTTGTGGCTGATCCACGCTGTTGTACAACAGAAACTCACACAACACTGTCTAACAACTGTACTCCAATTAAAAAAAAATTTTTTTTAAAGAAAACATAAAATAGAAAGAGAAAAGAACCATGATGTCTCACTGCAAAATGTTAGTATGTTTTAGTATACTTCTGCTAGCTTTTTTTGGTACAAACCTAAGTGTTTTTGTTGGTGGCAGTGATAGTGGTGGTGTTACTATTTCACATTGCTCTGATAGTAGCATATTTACTACTTTGTATCCTGGGTTTTTTCCACTTTGCATTAATTTGTAAAAAGTTTTTCCTTATACTATATAAGCTTCCTAATCATTTTGTTTAACAAATTTTATTTTGGAGTAACTGCAGATTTACAGAAAAGTTAGAAAGATGGTCCTGTGTACCCTTCACCTAGCGTCCCTAAGCACTACCATCTTATATATCATAGCACATTTGTCAGAACTAAGAAATTAATATCAGCACATAGTATTTACTAAACTATAAATTTTACTACTTTTTCTAATAACACCTTTATCTGTTATAGGATCTAATACAGAATACCACATTGCATTTAGCATAATGATTATTTATAATGGTTATACAATATTTAGTTAAACAGCAACTTTTAAGGTATTCCTTTATTGTTGAATATTCAGGGTTTTTTTTTTTTTTAAATGTTTTAGCTTTTTAAAAATACATGGACCTTGGCCAGGATAACAAAAGAAATAAGAGTATTCTTACTATAATCCTCTCACCGATAGATAAGCTTCAATGAGTGCTTAAAAATGACCCAGTGCTCTTTGTGAAAAGGGTTGCTTACCTCCACCACTCTTATATCAGCTGTGTAACATGCAAAGGTTTTGCACTTTCTGCAAAGCAGTTTTTTATTTTTCTTATCAAGCACAGGTTTTACTTTTCCTTGATTATCCCTGATTAGTTTTTCATGACTCTGTATCTGGAGAATCTAAGTGCAAAAAGAGGAAACAAAAAACCCTTCAAATATGTACTCTGGGTATGACTAAAATACACACACACACACACACACACACACACACACACACACATACATAATAATTTATTCCTACACAACTTCTATGAACATACAGTACCTGGTTTTGTTTATAAAAATCCCGCAGATAATCTTGATTCTCCTAATTCTTTGTTAGTCAGTGTTTAACTGTGGCCTCTCCAATTAATCTTTCCATATCTTCATCAAAGATCCATAAAAGCATGAAAGATGTCCATAAAACAGTCATGTGAACCATGCTTTCTACATTAGTAGTTGGTAAAACTTTTAAAACCCTTCACGAATAGACATATGATATGCATTGACTATTTCAGGAATAAAATACCCACTCCCTAGGTATAAACCCATTGAATAAAACAGCAGGCAGAAGAGTCCCCCACCACCTAAACCTTTTCTCTCTCTTCCCTTGCAAACCACAAAGAATATTGTTGAATTACATTAAAGTTAAATGTCTAAACAGGATGACTACATTCCACCTCAAACTTTGGCCTTGGTTAAGTACAACTAAGAACCCTGAAACATTATATATAAAATAAACCTGAGATTCTGAAGGATGAAGAGAAGAAGGCAGACCAGCTAGGAGCCATGGAACCCTAGAAACAACACAGGAGTGAGCTTCCTGGGGTTCTTCTTTTTTTGCCTTGTGTATATATCCCAGACACGGGGCTGAAGAAGCTGGCAAGCAGAAATGCCTCTCGGCACAGACAGAAAGTCTCAACAAAAGCCTGTCTCTCTAGCCAAAGGATGAAGACAGGGGCAGCTAGCAAGACAGAAAACTTTTAGACAATAGCTGTTCCACAGGAAGAAATCAACAACAACAACAAAAAAACAAGAACCAAGAAACCCTGAATCTAGTGGGGAGGACCCTAGAATTCCACTAAGCAGGGCTGAGAGGAAGCATCTCAACACTCCCCCCTGGTGGTGTCAGAGAAGGCCACACAGGGAGCCAGGATTTTCAGTCCTGCCACATGGCAGCCACCCTGCCTGTAGTATCCATAGAGATCAATGAATAGAAAAAAATTAATAAATGAGCAGAGCCTCAGGTAACCTTAAGACTATTTTAAAAAGACCTAACAGTTATGACAGGAGAGGGGAAAGAGCAGAGCTTAAAAAGTACTGAAAGAAACAATGACTAAACATTTCCCAAATTTTACATAACAGAACCCTATAGGTATAAGATGCTGGACAAATGCAAACAAGATAAATGCAAGGAAACCACACCAAGACACATTATAATTAAACTTCTGAAAACTGAAGACATAGGAAAAAAACTTCAGTGTGCATGTATCATTTGCCCCTTAGCTTCATTTATTTATCTATTTCTGGATTTACATGTTTTTTTATGTAGCAATTTCACCTTTAAGAGATTTATCCTATGGGAAGTCCAGATCATTTGATTTATATTGTCTTTTTAAAATTTTTTTCAATTGAAGTGTAGTTGATTTACGATGTTAAGCCAATCTGCTGCAGAGCAAGATGACTCAGTTACACACATATAGACATATTTTTTTCTATTTTTATCACAGGATATTGAATATGTTCCCTGTGCTATACAGTAGGATCTTGTTTATCCTATTGTTGTTTAAACTATTACATATATAATAAATATATTTATAAACTATTATATATAATATATATAAAAACTATTATATATAATAGTTTAAACTCTATATAGTTTATAAATATATTTATAGCTTTACATTTAATTTGCTAATCCCAAACTTCCCTCCCCGATCCACTCGTCCTTGGCAACCACAAGTCTGTTCTCTAAACACATAGGAAAAAATCTTGAAAGCAACCAGAAAAAAAAAAAAATGACACCTTACCTACAAGGGAAAAACAATCTGAATGATACCAGATTTCTCATCAGAGAATGTGGACAGCAGACAAAAGTGACATATTTTTCAAATGCTAAAAGAAAATCTTGTGAACCCAAATGCCTATATACTCAGCAATATATACTTCAGAAATAAAGAGGAAATAAAGACATTCTCAAATGAAGCAAAACAAATTATTTTAAGAATTTGTTCACCACCTTCCTTTCCCTAAAAGAAGAGCAAAAAGAAGTTCTCGAAAGAGGACATGACAGAAGAACACCTGAAACATCAAGGATGAAGGAAGGAAGAATGAGCATGGTGATTTCAGAGCAGAGCTGTGTGTAGAAGGATCTGCTCTGCCCCACGGGTCTGTGGGGCCGCCTCTTTTTATCCAGTGTTCCAGGTGGAACCAGACAGCTTAGGTGTAAGCCCTGTTCCTACCACTTAGCAGCTGTGTCATTCTGGGCAAGTGCCTCAAATATAGAATGGGAATAGTCATAGCATTTACTTCATAGGTTGTTGGGAGATAACGTGAGTTAATAACTCATCAGGACTGCCTGGCATAGCTTTAATGCTCCTTGGTATTCGTCTTGGTCTGTTAGGCTGGTCTTTTGCCAAGAACCATGAAAACGTTAATGATGGTGATTTGTACTTCAATATTGGGTAGGGCAATACCCATTCATGAGTTATTTTTTCCGAAATGTCATAGCTATTTTCATTTATGTATGTGTCTATATAAACTCTGGAGCCATTTTACAAAGCTAAAATTTATATTTTGATTATGGGCTATGATAAATGTACAACTGAATTTGCAGTAGATGCACATCTTTAAAATATTCAGTCATTCAATTCAAGAAAATGGTGTTTCTTTTCTTTCTTTCTTTTTCTAAAGGTTTTTACTTGGCTGTGCTGGGTCTTAGATGCAGCATGTGGGATCTAGTTCCCTGACCAAGGACTGAACGTGGGCTCCCTGCATTGGGAGCTCGGAGCCTTAGCCACTGGACCACCAGGGTATTCCCAGGGTTTCTTTTGTCTTAATTCACCTTCTATTACTCCGTAAAATTTTTTTAGTTGTCCTTGTGATGTTGGAGAAGACTCTTGAGAGTCCCTTGGACAGAAAGGAGATCAAACCAGTCCATCCTAAAGGAAATCAGTCCTGGATATTCATTGGAAGGACTGATGCTGAAGCTGAAACTCCAGTACTTTGGCCACCTGATGTGAAGAGTTGACTCATTGGAAAAGACCTTGATGCTGGGAGGGATTGGGGGCAGGAGGAGAAGGGGACGACAGAGGATGAGATGGCTGGATGGCGTCACCGACTCGATGGACATGAGTTTGAGTAAACTCCAGGAGTTGGTGATGGACAGGGAGGCCTGGCATGCTGCAATTCATGGGGTGGCAAAGAGTCGGACACAACTGAGTGACTGAACTGAACTGAACTGATTTATGCTTCAAACATTTCTGGTTAGGCCAACAGATGCAGAGTTTAGACAGACGGACTCTGCCCAGGCCCTCCCCAACCTAGCTGTGTGATCTACTGACGCTGAAAATTTTCATGCCTCAGTTTCCCTCCCAGAGCGTGACTTCATGAGAGGCTCGACCACATGGATCACTGAGAGACCCACTGATATAAATAAGCATTTGCAGGGCTTGGTGGAGAGCCCATGTTCTGCATATATGAGACAGTTATTGTCACTGTGAGTGGAAATGTCCCAGCCCCATATACCTTGTACTGGCTACTGATCACCCATTGAGAAGCCATTGATCTCTAATGCACTTCAAATTCAAATAAAACTTGATTTATATTTAAAAATTTAGGCCTGGAATATAGGTCAGGAAAACAATCAAAATATGATTTTCTCTCCCCCAACTCCCCACTCTACTCCATCCCACCTGTAATTATCTTCATTGTTTTTTAAGAATAAAGGATGCTTAATGCGCCCTATTTCCAATCCACATTTTCACTGCTGTAAAACTGCTGCATGATGTATGCATTTACCTCATTATTTCCTCTGGGTGAATTTCTAAAAATGAAATTCCATGGTTACATGATATACATTTCCCTATGAGGAATTTAAATTTCTCAGACATGGTTCTGATCATTATTTAAGGCAGGCTCAGGGTGGGGGGAATGTGACAGGAAAAAAGGTAAAAATATAAACTTGCCCTTTAGGCATCCAATTTAAAAAAATCACCTACATCTAATGATGTTCGATCATATACTAAAATGCAATTAAATAGTTCAGTTCAGTTCAGTTGCTCAGTCGTGTCTGACTCCTTACATCCCCATGGACTGCAGCACGCCAGGCTTCCCTCTCCATCATCAACTCCTGGAGCCTGCTCAAACCCATGTCCATTGAGTAGGTGATGACATCCAACCATCTCATCCTCTATTGTCCCCTTCTCCTCCCGCCTTCAATCTTTCCCAGCATCATGCTCTTTTCAAATGAGTACGTTCTATGCATCAGGTAGCCAAAGTACTGGTGTTTCAGCTTCAGCATCAGTCCTTCCAATGAATATTCAGGACTGATCTCCTTTAGGATGGACTGGAAAAATCATAGCTTTGACTAGACGAACCTTTGTTGGTAAAGTAATGTCTCTGTTTTTAAACATGCTGTCTAGGTTGGTCATAGCTTTTCTTCCAAGGAGCAAGCATCTTTTAATTTTATGGCTGCAGTCACCATCTGCAATGATTTTGGAGCCCAAAAATATAACGTCTCTCACTGTTTCCATTGTAATAACCTCAAATATTTTAAATGTCACTAAAGGCAATAAATATAAATCCTAAAAATTAAAACTCTTACTTCTATACTGAAAACTAAGTAAAACTGAGTAACTGGATAAAGAGGTTTAACCAAAGTCACAAGTTAAGTCTAGGGCACACAGACTCCCCTTCGCTCACCTGTGGTTGGGAAGCGGCCTAACTTCCTACACTGAGGTGAGAAAAGCGAAACTATGAATACCTGACTGTATGCAGTCGGGGCAGAGATCAGGCTGGAAATTCTGTAGTCAAAATGCACTTTCTTTTACCCTGTATCTTATTCTCTACTCATAAGAAAGGAAAGTAGGCTTCTTCATTTTGATTTCAAATGACCCTCCACAACTAGAACTATGAAAAATATCCTTTATACTTTATTGCTCTAGATGAAGTCCAATCAGATCCTGAGGCTTCCATCATGGAAATAAGTTTCTGGAGGGTTCGGGCTGTCTACAGGTTCCGCTGAAAGGCTGCAGAATAACCAGAGGTCCCCAAGGGCCACAGTGCTCTGGGGAAGTCAGCCATACACAGGTAATGGACAAGGCAGCTATGGGTGTGGAGAAGAGAGTGCATAGGCTCCCTTTCCCCTACTCAAGGACTGCCCGAATGCGCTTTGAACTTCTTCCCTCACTTGTGCAAAGTTCTGTGATATAAAGGGCCTGGGTGCTCAGATCCAATGTCCAGTTCAGTTCAGTCGCTCAGTCGTGTCCAACCCTGTGACCCCATGAACCGCACTCAGCACTCCAGGCCTCCCTGTCCAACACCAACTCCCGGAGTCCACCCAAACCCATGTCCATTGAATCGGTGATGCCATCCAACCATCCCAACCTCTGTCGTCCCCTTCTCCTCCTGCCCTCAGTCTTTCCCAGCATCAGGGTCTTTTCCCTGCATCAGGACCAATGAGTCAGCTCTTCGCATCAGGTGGCCAAAGTACTGGAGTTTTAGCTTCAACATCAGACCATCCAATGAACACCCAGGACTGATCTCCTTTAGGATGGACTGGTTGGATCTCCTTGCAGTCCAAGGGACTCTCAAGAGTCTTCTACAACACCACAGTTCAAAAGCATCAATTCTTCAG